CGATAGGGTGGTAAAAAGTCTAGAGGGGGGGGGGGGGTGAATAGACTTTTTAAACTTTTTACAATTAATAACACTTTGGTAATTTCAACTCTAAATAACAAGATATGAAACTTGGATGCGCAGGGGAATAATTAATCAACCAAGTGTTACGTAAAATCAAAGAGATATATCACATGCAATATGATGGATATGCTTGCAAAGGCTCAAATAATAAGTATGCAAATTTATGCCCACATGCAAACGTGAAAGATACTAGACCCAGATGAATAAATTCGCACAATATAAGATGGGTCAGTCAAATATTCAACATGCAAGATAACAAAATATTTAAAGAGATGGTTCACTCAATATGTGTGTGATATCACGTGTGAATCAATGAATGAATCCAAATGGAATAGTGTCTGCATGCACTTGTAAAGTCACACAACCCAAACAATAAGATAGATAAATATGACGAATAGTAAATGGGTTAGTATGCATGCAATAATAAATAAAAGCAGTAAGTAAATGAGAGAGGCAATTTATAGTGGTTCAGATGTGGTGTAATCCTCCTAGTCCACTCTTCTCCTTTCACTCCAAGGAGGAAATTCACTATCTCATTCACCCAGATACAAATAGTGAATCAAGTGCACACAGGCACTTCCCGGGTGTTTCGCACACAGCTACACTGAATCCCGAGTATCTCGCACAAAGCTATAGTCCCAAGTATCTTGCATAAAGCTATACTCCTACACCAACTAAGTGCCTTGCACACAGCTACACTTAGCACCACCGAGCGTTTCGCACACAGCTACACTCAGCAACCATGAGTGTCTTGCACAAAGCTACACTCACGAGTGTCTCGCACAAAGCTACACTCAACAGGGTAGTGTCTTGCATAAAGCTACACTCAACCCTCTTTCTACACACAGTAGAGGTAAGATTTAGAGAAAACAAATTTCTCTTCTAAGGACTTGAAGAATCTCTCGTGTAAGCTCAGACTAGATATTTTCGAATTTTTGCTCTTTGTGTATTGTTGCCTCCCTGCTTCATGTCTTCAAGTCTTCTGGTATATATAGCTGAAGAAGCTATATTACCGTTGTAGCATCAGTTGATCTTGATCGTTTATCTTGATCAGCTACACATTATTGCCAACTTGCATTACGGTGAATTAATGCAAGAGATGGGCTTCTTACAGTGAGTTTGAAAATCCTCACCTGAAAAATCTTCAAAAGTCGTATATGTCGGCTCATCAGCTGAATCTTCTCCGAAAAATAATTTCCTTATCTTGATGGATTCAAAATGATAAAATCTTCCAAAAGATTTGCTGCTGATTCTTGCTTGAGTAAAAAATATATCTTCGTCCATTTCATCTTCATGAGAAAGAAGATGTGTAGAAGGGTGCATCTTTCTTATCATGTCCACAAGCTTCCAAACTTGTAGTCAACTTAGCGTTACATGTGTCCACATTGCAGCATGCACACAACAAGTGTCATCTTTAAAATCCAATGAGATTCAAACACGAGCCCAATGACATATGTCTCCCACACTTTTACCACTACGCCATATTCACTCATTAATTAATATTTCTGGATTTAATCTTTATTCCCAAAATGGCTTTAGTAGCATTCTAGATTAATTCATAAATTAATCCGAGTCTGCTTCTTGGTCGTCCCCTTCTTTATCTCTTACTCAAAAATGTAAAGATCAAGTCTCAAACCAATGACCTCTGACTTTAACAACCTTGTTGCTTATCCACTTCACCGCTTGATCTTTTGGTGTTTTCTAAGGTAAATAATTCTCAAATAGTAACATTCTGGATAAGTATATTTTGCTAAGAATTTCGTAGACTTTATGGCTTGACTTGGGACTTAGAATAATAGACAACTAGACTCAAAATAAAATAGGGGAGTTCTAAAATTAAAATACAAATTTGACTCATCAAAACTATTACGTTTTATACCTAACTAATTCCCCCTTTTTGATGATGCCAAAACCTATACCCGGACATTTTGGCTTAGTCCAGTCAAAAACAATAATCTTTTATTTTTCTTTCTTTTATTTTATTTTGACTAGCCAATTTGACGAGTTTGACAAAATTTGGACCTAAAGACTTTTTACTTTTAGACACGTAAAAAATGTTGCAATTTTTTAGGATTAATTTAATTTCTTTTGTCAACTTGTTTTCTTCCCTCAAATTGCATTTACAAAGCTAAACATGTGTCTAAAAATTAAAAAGTATAAAGCTAAACAGAATATGACTAGATAGATTAATTGCATCAAATTCAACAAGCCATATTACAAACTCAGCAAAATGTACTGAAATGTTAAACATCTTCACGGTCCTATCATGCTATTTACTCTAGCTCTTAGCTTAATGAAATTACCTTTGCAATTAGCATGATAATATAACTGCTTCACTTGCCCTTTGAGATAGCATGAAAAAGCTCCACGTACATCTCCCTTGCTTGTGGGAAAAACATTTCGAATGTACCACTTGGCACATTCGAATATGTTCCTTCCTTCCTTTAGTTCGGACACATCTGGTACTAGAGCTGCAAAGGATGCAATGACATCTTCATTTGGTGAACTTCCTTCCCCCTGAAGGTATGCACCGCTCGAACTGCTCCAGCCTTGTCCACCATGTCCAAATCCACCACCAAAATGAGAGGGTTGTTCTCTTTCCCCTTTTTGGTGTCATCAAAAATCATCTTGACCATATCAGTGCCCTTCTTGGATAAAGTCACTATCTCCTTGACCACCGAGTCGGTACGCAAAGTCGTGCTAGCCATTCCTTGGAGAAAATCCTTAATTATGGATAACTCCTTCTTGATCATTCGAATATCTTCTCCATGGGTGTCAATCTTTTCAATTGTTTTTCGGAGATCCTCAACCTCCATGCACACTTTGAAAAGCAGTTTCTCATGCCTAATTTTGTGCATCATATTCTCAGCATGGTGAGACTTTTCAAGATTGGCTTGAGCACTTCTTTCATCTTCAAGGGCTATAGTTAACCTGTCAACAAAAGAATTCAAAAACTCAACAATTGTTGGGTTAGAATCTTCAACGTGTGCTTCAATGGCCTTCTTTAGTTACTTCAAGGCCTTGATCACCTCAACATTAGAACCTTTTTCTTTGTCACTTTTGTTGATTTCCTCATCTTCATTCGAATGTTCATCCAAAATCTCAACAACAATATGCTCATCATCATCTTTTTGAACTTCATCTTCCTTTGCTTGGTTATCCAACTCAACATCTTCTTGTTGTTCTCCTTCCTTGGCCTCTGGATCAGCCCCTAAATCAGCATGTAGAACTGGTTCATCATCCACCATAAAATTAGTGTTCAATTCTGCCACAAGGTAAGAATCCAAATCAGACATAATGTCATCCCCTGTGTTGTCTCTCTGGTCATCACCTGTGTTATCCCCTGCTTCTTCTTCTTGAACTGCTTCAACTTCTTCTGTCTGGATGGTGTTGGATGCATCCAAGATCTCATCCAAGCATCCAAAATAAACACAGTAACCAAAATTAATTGGATCAAATTGAGCTTAAGGATAGAGAATGTGATACTTAGCTCATTTCGATCATGCCCAACTCATGCCTTAGAGTGATAAATCGTGATTCGCACAAAGGCTTTGTCAGAATATCTGCTAGTTGATTTTCTGTTGGTACGTGATCGATTTTGATGTCTTTCTTTTCAACATGATCTCGTATGAAATGGTGTCGGACATCAATGTGCTTTGTTCTTGAATGAAGTACTGGGTTTTGAGAAATTGCTATGGTGCTAGTATTATCACAGAAAATACTAACTTCATTGCAATTGACTCAATAATCTTTTAATTGTTGCTTCATCCATAGAATCTGTGCGCAACAACTCCCTGCAGCGATATATTCGGCTTCGGCTGTGCTTGTTGCAATGGAGTTTTATTTCTTCCTAAACCATGAAACTAACCTTCCCCCTAAGAACTGGCACGTTCCTGAGGTACTTTTTCTATCAATTTTGCAACCTGCAAAGTCTGCATCTAAAAAACTGGTTAGTTCAAAACTTCCTTCTGTAGGATACCATAATCCTACATTGATGGTTCCTTTAAGATATCGGATAATCTTCTTCATGGCAAGTAGATGACTTTCTTTTGGCTTAGATTGGAATCTTGCACATACACCTACTGAGTAAGATATGTCGGGTTTACTCGCAGTGAGATATAATAAAGATCCAATCATTCCTCGATATTGCGTCTCGTCAACATCTTTGCCTTCATCGTCTTTGTCTAATTTGACTGATGTGCTCATTGGAATTTTTACTGAGCTTTTCCCTTCTTGACCGAATCTCTTAATAAGATCTTTGGTGTATTTGGCCTGATTTATGAGAATTCCTTCCTTTAGTTGTTTTACTTGCAGTCCAAGGAAATAGTTTAGCTCTCCCCTCATGCTCATTTCAAACTTGTTCTGCATGAGCTTAGAAAATTTCTCACATAATAATTTATTAGTACTTCCAAAAATGATATCATCAACATAAAATAGGGGAGTTCTCACATAATAATTTATGGCTTGACTTGGGACTTAGACTAATAGACAACTAGACTCAAAATAAAATAGGGGAGTTCTAAAAATACAAATTTGGCTCATCAAAACTATTAGATTTTATTCCTAACAAGCTTTAATGTCGCGCAAGTTAAACGTTAATCAACGCATGTAAAGACTTTGGCATTTACCACAGACCAAAGTTTTTATACATAAACCAACGCACATTATGTTTCCGTATTACGCATATTAAGCCTTAATGTAGCGCACTTTAAAAGTGTAATCAACGCATATTAAGAATTAATTGCACGCAGTTTAAGCTAGTAGCAGTGATTGTTAAACACAAATCAGTGATAAAAACAAAAACTAGTAATAGCTGAACATTAAATTCAAGTATCTCAACTGTAAAAGCATTCTAAAATGAGTTAACTAAGTATTTGTGTTTCATATTTGCTATTTATTTTCGTTCTCAATTGTAAAGGCGTTGTAAAAATAGACTGCTATGCCTTTTTCTTACCCTTTTGTTTGTCCTTATTTTTGGGGTTAAGTGGGCAAGTCCTGGTGTCATGTTGATCTCCTCTAACACCACAAAAATTGCACCTCCTGCCCTTTTCTTTTTCCATTGCCAACTCCTTGCTGCTTTTGATACGTTTGCCGATGCCCTTGTTCTTTGCATGTTTCGGTGGAAGTATATTGATCTCTGAAATCTCTGTTGATCCACAAAATGATTCTATAACAGTCTTCCTGCTGTGCTGAGGGGATAACTTTTCCTTTCCTGACATTAGCAGCTGTTTTTGTTCATTAATCACTTGCAAAAATGCAGCCAATTGCTCCATGTTTGAACCTGCTAGATCAATACAACAGTGTACATCAGACCACAGTTTGTTCAGCAACATCTTCTTTTCATCCTTTGGTCCATTTTAATCATAAATGACACCATCTATTTCAGATGTAGCCTTTAAAGATGCATCCTTAGTCCATCGATTAACCACATACTTCAGAGGTATCTTTTCAAGGTTTTTAAAGACCATAAATATGTGTCTACACAACAGTCCAACCATCTCAAACATCTTGCAACTGCATTTGGCCTCATGGTCATTTACATTGTGCACCATAGTAAATATTTTGTTCTTTCCATCCATAATATCATAGTGTAACATTCCACCGTCTTCTCTAACACTCAACACCATACATTTGAAACAGGAGGCACATATTTCTTCCTGAACTTGATAGAAAACAGTAATGGTGTAGACGATTGAAGCGTGTTTTTCGATCCCCAGAGGCATCTTCATATCTGGATTGTAGCCTTCATTGTCACTATTGAGCTTTGCGTTTGTGTTACGTTGTGATTTAAGAGCACTATCAAAGTTCATCATGAATTCAACTAGGCTAGACTGTGGGCAAGTAAAACGGCTGTACGTGTAGTTCTCACTTTCGGAACGAGACATTGTCCTGAGTAGATCCCCCATAAAGTCATCTCTAAAATAGGCTGGGATCCCATGGTTTCTAGCCTCAAACATAGTTATAAACCAATTGTGTTCGACTAAGTTGTACTTTTCCATGAGCTCTCTCCACTGTTTCTCAAAATCAGGAGGTTCCAAAGATGACGTCCAAACGATTGAGTTCAATTTGTTCTTAAACTCCTCATTCTTGTTCAACGTAGGACCCACCTTTTCCCCAACTTTACACATAATGTGCCACATGCAATAACGATGCCTGGCTTGCTTGAAAACTCTTGGAATCGCAACTTTCATAGCTGGATCTTGATCAATGACAATTATTCTTGGTTCCATACCCATTGCCTTTTTAAATTTTTCAAAGACCCAAACATAAGACTCAATGTCTTCTTTCAACAATAGTCCAGCGCCAAATGTTATACATTTTTTATGGTTATCAACTCCGGTGAAGGGTGTAAAAACCATATCGTACCTACAAGACAAAAAGCGTCATCATAGTATACAGGTGCCAAACTGGCGCACTTAGAGCATTAGAGTAACGCACATTAAGTCTTAAAATCGCAGACATATGTACTTGAAGTCTAATTCCGGATGTTCCGCATTAATATGTGCGACATTAGTGCTTAACATGCGTGGTATAAAACGACAATGTGCGCTTATTTATGTTACAATTCTTCTCAAATAAACAGTGAACATGTATAAATCTTAACATTGCTCAACATATCAGGCAATGCTTAATGTGAATTAATCAATGAAACGTACGCAAGAATGTGAATAGAATAATACCTGTTGGTTGAATATGTGGCATCAAAAGAGACAACATCTCCAAATGCAGCAAAATTCTTTTTTGACATTGGATCTGCCCAAAAGAGTCTACTCATCTGCTCATCTTCATCAACTTCGTAGTCAAAAGCAAATGCAGGGCACATCTCTTGTCTTTTAATAAGATTATGCACGAGTATTTGTGCATCAGCACCCAATATGTATGCTCTGAGATCCCTTCTGACATTTTTAAAGTCGACTACAGTTGCCCCAACTTCAGAGTAATCCCCCACAATCTGACTGTATAAACCGTGTGATTTTGATGCTCTAATATTTGCTTTAGCACAATCTAGTATAAACTTCTGATGAACACTGGAGATGTTTCTATTTCCCTTTAGGAACTGCCTTGCCAGAACTGAAGACATGCTATGATTATGTTTTTCAATAAATGTCGTAACTTGGTACCCAGCTACTCCAATGTACTTGAAAATAATCCTAGCTCTGCAACCAGTTCTGTTTGAAACCAGCTTTGGACGCGAAGGACCTTCCCCCGCATCTGCAGTTGATTTTGAGTGACAATGTTGAGCACCCGTATTCTTAAATCCCTCTCTATTGCAAACGATTTGCTTTAGAGTTTTCGTCCCGTCGCGTGCTCTAACAAGGGAACTAGACCTCGTGTCAAACCCGACTTTGGCAGCATAATTATTGTAGGATTCAATACCAGCATCCAATGTTTTAAAAATCATGTCAACCGCTGGTTTGATTTCATCTTCACAGTGCAGAGTCCAATACTGTGTCATTCTAGGAGATATGGTCAATGTATAACCATTGCTGCTGCTGCTGGGACTCAAACTGGGGTTATTCGTAGATTGAAAGTCACTGGGAACTGTAACGTATAAGCATGAAGTTATTATTGCGTTATCGTAAGCCTCTACGTGCGTAGTGTGAATACTTAATATGCGTTAATTTAATCAGATTATTGTCAATATGGCAGATTTATAAAATACAAGAGTATGTGCGTCAGGTGAGCACTTAACGTGCGTCAGGGTAATAGTTAGAGTGCGTATGTTGAACATTTAACATGCGTAAGTGTTTTTTTTAAATGTTAGGTCTTTATTTAACGTGCGTCATGGAGTCGATTAACATTAATATGCGTCTGGAAAGGACTGAACGTGCATGTGCTTAACAGATAACATGCGTAAGGGTTGTTTAAAATTTTACGCCGGTAATTAACCGGCATCAGTGAAAACTGTAATATGCGCATTTGTAAAAATTAACATGCGGCTACCTAATCATCTACGTGCGTAAGTCTTTAGGCTCGGAATAATTAAAGTAGGTCAGTAATTCAATTGTTAAGTTGCATGCATGTAGTGTTTAATATGCGTGTAATTAAGACAAGAAGGAGGCCATCAATACAAGTGCAGATAAAATTAATTCCAAAAAATAAATAAAATTTGGGTAATACCTTGATCTAATTCTTCCATTCTTGATCGGTTGACGTTGTTGCTGGGTTTACGGTTTCTTTTGACGAATAAGCTATTGAACGATGAAGACAATAGATTTTATTTCCAATTTCATAGAGATCGCAAAATCGACTGAGATTAGGAAATATCGAAGATTAGGAATCAATGGTGAATTTTGAAAACGCGCAAAGAAGAAGAAGATCAGAAATTTTGATTTTTTTTTTAATATAATCAAAAGGACCAAAATGCCCTCAATGAGCAATTCGCGTTTATTTTTTGTTGTTAATCTTATTCGTTGGATCAAGAGCTACGTAAGGCTTAGATTCAACCTCATTTTTCACAGGAAGGACTAAATGCACGCGAGCCCTTCCCTATATATACATATATATATATATATATATATATATATATATGTATATATATATATATATATATGTACATATATATATATATATATTTATTTATTTATTTATTTATTTATTTATATTTGTAGTGATCTACTTTGAAAGGTCACAAACAATTCAAAGTAGACCACTACAAATATAAATAAATAAATAAATAAATATATATATATATATATATATATATATATATATATATATATATATATATATTTAGTGGTCTACTTTGAAAGGTAAAAAAGCATTTAATTTCTCAAAAGTTATTTGTATTAGTAAGCTAAACAGTTGTATATTCACCTTGTACAACACAATAACAGTAAAGTATAATAATATTGGAATCTGTACATTTATAAAGACAGCATTAATTAGCCGAATTATGGATACATTTCTTAGCAAACGATATCGTATTACGTGAGCGGTAAAATGAAATAGACAGCAACTTATGGGCGGGGCAAAATGACTTCGTTTTAATTGGGCGGGAGAATTTTGTTGGCAAGAAGTTTTTACTTTATTATAGAGTTGGATGAATCAAAAAAATTAGATCTTGGACCGTGAATCGGCGATTTCGGATCCGGTTCACGATTTTGAACCGTCTTTATTTAAAAAAAAATTTATTTTAAAATAGTCTAAATTCAACAATAAATGTATTTTATTTTATTTTTTCAGTTCAGAACATGAACTGGTTGTTCTAGTTCGTGATTTTAATAAACTGTAAATATCAGGTTTCGATTCTAAATTGTAATTAGAATATTTCAGTTTGGTTGCTATAGTGTATATTTGATTTGAACCAAATCGTGGTGATAATTTGGGGTAAATATGTCCATTTAACATTTCAGGGGGAAAAATAATCACTTGAATAATTCAGGGAGGATAAGTGCTATGAGTATATAACTCAGGGAGAAAATTTGCTATTTTCCCATAATAATATTATATATCATTAATAAAAATGGGACGAAAATTAAGTAAAAATATCATTGCATATGATATTCTAATTGACTAAAAATAAAAAAAGAATAATTGACTGAAAATTAATTTGATATTACTAATTGACTAATACTATAAAGAATGAACACATTTGCCTAATTTATAAAAAAAAAAATACTAAACAATAATAAATAAAATTCCCAAAGTTACAACACTACATGCGGATATCTACACATTAGCTATTAATTTGAGTAATAATTTGCTCAAATTCAAGCAAATGATAACATCAAAACACATAAATGATCCAAACTACATCTTCAATTGCACTATATAATATTTATATCAATCTAAATATTCTTAGTATATTACAAAAAAATCCATTCCGTGCATCGCACGGACGAAAATACTAGTAACTAGTAAAACCTCAATATTCACAATTCAACTAATCATTTGTGGTTTGATACCATCACTGTTGCCATCATTTATCAAGTGAAAAAAAATAAATCTGAGATGAAAATGAGTTAAATCTTTGAGGGAAATCAAAATATCATGCAATCTGTACTTCACTTGACTACCAAAAAAAAAAAAAAAAACAAAAAAAAAAAAAAAACAACAACAACAACAACAGATGTTCATCAACAACTTCTTCTGAGAAGCAGAAATCATTGCAATTTACCAAAACATAGAATAGTATGCTTTGCAACACAGTATTCTGCCAATTCAAATACCCACCTGCCTAATCCACAATAAACAAATGCAAAAACCATTATGCAGTCATTCATTCATCACTCTCTTCCTCCTCTTCCCTGCAATTGATAAATTAAGTAAATATGAAAAAAAAAAAAAAAAAAAAAAAGGTGAACACAGCAGTTATAGGTAAGGAAATATGAGATAGAAGTGATGAGAGGAAACAGATCAGATCAGATATGATGGCCATGAAGAATTCAATTCAAGTAGCATGCATGAAATGGTAACACATTATAATATATTAAGGTTGGGGCAATTTCCTTCCGGCAGCAGAGTGTAGTGGCTGATTAATGTAATTCAATTTCCATCCATCTCTCAGCTCGTCATGTGATTAGGGCATTCAGCGCAAGTGGAGTACCTACTTCAACTCCTATCTTGTAATTAATCCACGCCACGCCCTGCACTCTCTGATTTTAGATGGAAAAATCAGTTGAGATGAGATAAAGAAATAACACCAACTTTATACCACAATTATATTGAAGCACAAACCATAATATATAGTTTATGATGCAACACACTACGTATTCACCATAACTTTTCATTGCTTCCCAATCTCTGTAGTTGTCTGTGTTTAAGAATTAGATGTTAAGGAGAAACGAAATGCCAGATGAAAGATAAAGATTAAAAGAAAATAAACAATACTGAAATAGCCAAAAAATGAAAACAATTAAGCGTGATTTTCCTTTGAGGAGAAACAAAAAAATATGAGATACAAAAAAATGAGAGAAAGCAGATAATTATTGATTGCAGAGGAATTGCTACCCTTCGCAAAAAATTTAAATAGAATGAAACATGGAACATGAAACGGTGAGAAATATAATGGAGACCGAGATAGAAAGAGACCCGAATATATTTAGAACGAACAAGGAGGGCTTCATTTCCATAGCATCGCTGCTCATCTTGAATAAGCTTCGCAGAAGTCAAAACGGAATCCCAGAAGTATTTTAATTGAATCAATTCAAGTGTGGCAATATCGGCAAACGCAATAGGGATCTCTCGCAACGAACTGCAACTTAACTCCAATCTTCCCAAGTCCAGCTGTCAATTACCAACGTTTTCAATTGACGGAACCCTCCCTCACATGGCTCCCACTCTTTCCCTTCACAAGCATGTATCAATTTTAGAACTTTTAGATTCGGCAACATACCAATAAGCCTTATTTCACTCCATTGCAACTTAGTCTCGAAGAATTTGAGCTTCTTAAGATTTGGTAGAAAATTAGTTTGTTAGACTAAAATATCACATGCATCATAATTATGTGATTACAGGATCGACTAACCTCCAGCCATAGTCTTCTTGTTACGGTTGAGCGATCCGGACTGCTGCAGAGATAACGAGTATTTTGTCTCTCACTTTACTCAGCTCTCTCTAGATGGTGTATGAGGTATGTCATGTGAGCAGTGAGAGGACTAGTGACCTTATATAACCACTGGCCATCATTGTGGTTGATTGTCTTTAGGTCTCCTAAACCCTAACCAGACTCCTAATCATAATGGTAGTCTAGCTATTAGGTTATTAGTGTTGCACCACATATCAAATACTGAATATTATCATAACTTATCCTAATGTTATAATAATAGTAACGGATAAACGTTACATTCTCCCACTTGGTGCAAGCACTACCACTCAATAACAGAAATACACCAACCATAATGATATGTTCTCATTAGCACGAGTAGTATCCATTATGATCAAATGCAAACTGCCATTGAGCACTTAATTAGGAAACAAAACCCAACGAAATAAACCTTATGTTTATTCCAAGTCCCTGAAGTACATTTTCTCATCAATATGAAGCAAATGAACGTGTACACACTTAATTGAGAAAAATGTCTGAATGCCAAAGAATTTTAAACTGAATGTATATACAAATTCCATAGTGAGAAAAAGTCCCATTTTCTGAACCAGATCCTTGAATTTAACTGAAGGCATGCATTTAGTCAAGGGATCTGCTGACACCAACTCAGTATGAATGTGTTCAAAGAATACAACTTTATTTTTGACACGATTCCTAATTGCTAAGAACTTGATGTCGATGTACTTAATTCGACTCCCACTTTTGTGGTCTTAGCTAGGAAGACTGCAGCTGAGTTGTCACAGTAAACTTTCAATGGCTTAGATATGGAATCCATAATTCTAAGCCCAGAGATAAAATTCTTTAGCCAAACACCCTATGAAGTTGCCTCGAAACTGGAAAAGAACTCGGCTTCCATGGTAGAAGTAGCTATTAAGGACTGTTTAACACTTCTCCATGAGATAGCCTCACTGGCCATAATAAAGACGCACCCTGAAGTTGATTTTCGAGAATCAACACAGCCAGCGAAGTCCGTGTCTGAATAACCGACAAGATCTAAATTGTCCGTCTGCCTAAACCCAAGCTTGTAACCTTTGGTTCCTCTTAGATACCTTAGAACCCTCTTTACAGCTCACCAATAGTCTAACCCCGGATTGTATTGGTAACGCCCAAGCATTCCAACCGCAAGAGCAATGTTCGGCCTTGTACAGACTTGAATATATCCAAGACATCCAACAAGGGATGTTCTCCATGGATTCTTTCTCCAAGTCATTATTCGGACATTGGTCCAAACTGAATCTATCCCCCTTAGATATGGGAACAGCGTTTGGTGAACAATTTTGCATATGAAATCTCTCTAAAACTTTGTTTATATAGGTTTCTTGAGATAAACCCAGTATACCCCGGGACCTATCTCTCTGAATTTTAATGCCAATAACATAAGAGGCATCACTCATATCCTTCATATCAAAGTTCTTAGAAAGAAATTGTTTCACGAAGCATCCCCTTATCATTGGTGGCAAGTAAGATGTCATCCACATATAAAACAAGGAAACAAATTTTACTCCCACTCGCCTTCTGGTATATACAGTTATCTGAGGGATTTTCAACAAAACCAAATGAAGAAATTACCCCATCGAACTTGATGTACCATTGACGGGAGGCTTGTTTTAAACCGCATATGGATTTCTTAAGCTTACATACTAAATGCTCACCACCCCTAGAAGAGAAACCTTCAGGTTGTTTCATATAAACCTTCTCTTCTAGATCACCATTTAGGAAAGCGGTTTTCACATCCATTTGTTGCAACTCAAGATTGAAATGTGCAACTAATGCCAGAATGACCCGAAGTGAATCTTTCTTTGATACAGGAGAAAAGGTCTCCTAGTAATCGATTCCTTCTTTTTGAGTAAATCCCTTGGCAACAAGCCGGGCCTTGTATCTCTTAATGTTGCCTAATGAGTTTCTTTTAGCCTTAAAGACCCATTTACAACCAATGGCCTTGGCCCCATTAGGCAACTCAACAAGATCCCAAACTCCATTGTCCTTCATGGAATTCATTTCATCTTTCATGGCTTCCAACCATAAGTTAGACTGTGTACAATTTGTGGCTCGAGAGAATGTTTCAGGATCATTTTCGGCCCCTATGTCAGATTCTTGTAGATACGAAACATAATACCTAGGAACTGTTGATCGCCTTATCCGAGTAGACCGTCTTAAGGTTGGACCCCCACCGCCTTGCACAGGCTGCGGATCAACTACCTCTTCAGGAACTGGTGGCAGTTCTTGAATTGGTTCAGTCTGCATCGGCTCAGAATCTTGCTGTATATCCTGAGTTGGTTCAACCATTGGTTCGAAATCTAGTTCAGGCGGTTGCTGTAAGTCCTGAACTGGTTCTTCCAAAGGTTGATCCTCAACAGTTTGTGGAATCTGAACGGTAGGTGGTATATCTGCAGGCAGAACTAAAGGAGCACTGCGGATAAGTACCACCAGATGACGTAGAAGGGTGAGAGTCAATATGATCGAAAGAAGGAACTAAGTCCTTAAACCGATCACTCCCACTAATCAAGTCACCTTCAAGAAATTCAGCATTCCTTGATTCCACTATCCTAGTAGTATGAGATGGACAATAGAACCTATAACCCTTAGAAGATTGTGCATATCCAATAAAGAAAACACAAATCGTCCTTGGGTCAAGTTTCTTCTCGTGTGGGTTATATATCCTCACCTCAGACGGACATCCCTAAACACGCATATGTTGCAAACTTGGTTTCCAACCTTTAAATAACTCAAACGGTGTCTTAGGGACAACCTTGGTTGGAACACGGTTTAATATATACGTTGCCGTCTTAAGCGCTTCATCTCACAACGACTTAGGAAGCTTAGAGTTGCTAAGCATACTCCGCACCATATCCAAAAGGGTCCGGTTTCTTCTTTCAGCTACACCATTTTGGTCCGGAGAACCAGGCATGGTGTATTGGGCAACAATCCCATGCTCTTGAAGAAACTTAGCAAAGGGACCAGGTGCTTGTCCATTCTCAGTGTATCTACCATAGTATTCACCACCCCTATCAGACCTAATTACTATGTGTATTTTCCTGTTACATTGGTTTTCAACTTCAGCTTTAAATGATTTAAAGGCATCCAATGCTTCATGTTTATGATGAAGTAAATACACATAGGAAAATCTTGAGAAGTCATCAATAAAGGTGGTGAAATATTTCTGACCAGGTATTGTCATATCAGGACAACATATGTCAGTATGAATAATTTCCAACAACATTGAACTCCTATTGGCACCTTTCTTTGACTTGTTTGCCTGCTTACCCTTAATGTAGTCAACGCAAGTCTCAAAGTCAGTATAGTCTAGAGTATAAAGTACTCCATCCTTTACCAACCTTTTAATACGCTCAAGGGAGATATGACCTAATCTCCGATGCCACAACATTGAGGAATTGTCGTTAATACTACACCGTTTGGTGCCGTTTTGAACATGTAAAGAATTGTAAACTGAATCATTCTTGAATTTAAGACGAAAAAGACCATTAGACAATGTACCAGTACCAACACAAGTAGAATAATGAAATAACTTGATATTATTGGTATTAAATTCAAAAGAATAACCGAAGGGTACAAGTCTAGATATTGAAACTAAGTTCATAGAAAAACTAGAAACATAAAATGTCTTTTCTAATATTATTACAAAACCATTGTCCAAAACTAAATTGCAAACTTCGACAGCTTCGACTGGTGACGCAATCTTGTTTCCAGAGAAGATGCTACACTCAGTTCCCGTTGGCTGTCTCAATTTTGTCAAATCCCGCAAAGAGTTTGCAATGTGGATTGTTGAACCAGAGTCAATCCACCAAGAATTAGTATTAACTTTGACATATTAGATTTGAAACAAACAAAAGAAGATGGAACATACCCAAGCTTAGCCACAAGCCTTTGTTCCTCCATTGCACACATGGTTATCAACTCATTGATAGACCAATCCTCTTTATGTGTGATGTAGGAAATCTTAAAAGGATTGTACTCCTGAGGAAGGGTATCAAGTGCAAAAAGCACCAAATAATCATCTGGTAGAATGATTTCCAACTCCTTTAATTGAGCCGCAATATCCCTGAGTTGCATAATGTGTTCACGCGTTCCCTTGACAGTGGAAAGACGCAAATTTCTCAACTTCATGATTAGAGTCATTGCCAAAACTTTCTTTGATTCAATGAAGTTATCATCGATAGCTTTGAGAAAATGTTTCGCTTTCTTAATGTCCTCAAAGCAAAAACGAATTTTTGTGGAAATTCGTGACTTAATGAAGACCACACATAATCGATTGGATTTCTCCCATCGAGCGCGAAGCTGCTTGGCTTCGCCAGTGCTTTCTTCAGTAACCTCAGGGGGTTCCTCATTGAGAACAACGTAATCCAACTCTAATAATCTTAATTGTCTGAGAATAGCGTCTTTCCACTCTTTGTGATTATCTTCATTAAGGATTGGAACATTAATTTGTGTTTGGGTGACAGGATGAGTTGCTGTAAAGAATAATAATTAATGCTTGGTTAGAATTTTCGAGGCACAAAAAATTAGAGAGAGATACTGAAGTACATAATATTACCAATGTAAAATTATGCGAAGGATAAATTCGGATGCCATAAAAATTGCCTGTGGGCTAAATTTTTACGCATAATGAATTTACCAAAACTGAATGGTGGAAACGGAATGGGTGCAATTTTAATTTTTCCACCCTTAATGACAAAACTACCAAAACTATATGCCGATACATAATCCCTGTGGGCAAATTATGATCATAGTATGGTATTTCATCCTAATTAACCCTACAAATATAACAAAATTGCCTGTGGGCTAAATTTTGCCATATCACGCTGAGTGAATTACAATATTCTTGCATTAACTTTATGTGAGTAAAACTTAATATGTAATTTTGGAAAAATTAAAGATGCTGTGGCTACTCTTTAATTAACCAAAGAACATAATCACATTAGCAAGAAAACCTAATAAACAAACAGATTAAACCAAAATATGATAGACAATCTTTAGGTATACTCCCAGGAAAGTTGGTCGAGACGAAGCTCGGTTAAAAACCAACTCCTTAGACAGAGTAGCGTCGCAAGGGGACTAGTAGCAACAAGGCTTTTAAGCCAGGGCCATAGAACTAGTATTCCTCCCCAAGAAACTTCCCTAATTCATGTGTTCTCATTTTTGAAGTAAAATCGTTTGAGAGATCTAAAGAGTAGTTTCACCTATGGATAAGGCTTTGAATAGGTTAAAACTACGAATTGTTTATGTACTTAATGTGCTTTAGGAACTTTATAAAACACGAGTGGAGTAATAACTGAAGGTTGAGTAATAATATGCATAATCTAACCTGAAAGGCACTAATTCACCTAAAAGGCACTAAATCATGCATAACATATAATTTAGACCTAAAAGGCTCTAAAATTTTCTTAATGAGCATGCTTTTCTAGGCATATAATTATAACAGTCAAATAATTATTGCAATAAAGAGATACATAGCATGCTCAGATTATGAATATTACTCACAAAATACTCCATAAGTAAATTGTAACACTTAATACAATTTAAACTGAAAACATTATTAAATTAAAATTCAACTGAAAAATTAAAACTGAATAATTATTCAAAGTTGAATAATAATTTAATAATAGACTTAATAAAAAAATTTCAATTGGATAATTTAATTAGAAGAAGTCCAAATATGATGAAGATGTTAATCTGAATGAATTGATGTAGTCCAAATATCAATTCAGGTTTGATCCAAAACCATAACAGGCCCAGATTAAAAAAATATATAATTTTCTTTTTTTCTTAATGAGCCCATCATTCATCATCTTCTTCATTAACGCAAGGATAGCAGCAACGATGAAGCAGCAGCCAAGCCAAAATAAAATATCCATTTTTTTTTAATTTTTTTTTCTTAATGCGGAAAATATTATTTTCAGCAGTCCAGAAAATTTAATTGCGGACTCAAGAATATTTACACATGTATCTCAATTATACAAAATCGTATACAACATATGCAAATATTATATATATGCAATTAAACGAAACGAACCAGACAGAGATTATATATGGCGACTGATACCAACTGTTAGACTAAAATATCACATGCATCATAATTATGTGATTACAGGATCGACTAACCTCCAGCCATAGTCTTCTTGTTACGGTTGAGCGATCCGGACTGCTGCAGAGATAACGAGTATTTTGTCTCTCACTTTACTCAGCTCTCTCTAGATGGTGTATGAGGTATGTCATGTGAGCAGTGAGAGGACTAGTGACCTTATATAACCACTGGCCATCATTGTGGTTGATTGTCTTTAGGTCTCCTAAACCCTAACCAGACTCCTAATCATAATGGTAGTCTAGCTATTAGGTTATTAGTGTTGCACCACATATCAAATACTGAATATTATCATAACTTATCCTAATGTTATAATAATAGTAACGGATAAACGTTACATAGTTGCCCATGGGATGCCACTATACGGAAGTTTGAGATGCCACTTTTTGATACTTAGTTTCTCAAACATACCCAAGTGCACAAAATTATAGAAACCATCTGAATTTTCATTTTCAAAATACATTTCACCTTGAATCCCCAATTTTTTAAATTTGGAATCCTCTTAAAATGATCCTCTGTACAACACTTCGGACGCAACCAAGATATAGTCTCTATGTTTCTATGGACAACCTCCAAAGCCTCTAATGTAAAATGAATTCCGTCAGCATAAAAATTCCTTAACAGTGGCATTTTCCAAATTACAAATGCATTAGAGGAATGCAATATACATACTTTTTTACTTGGGGACAAAGATAAGTATCTCAAGTGAACAAGATTTGCCATATATAGCATCTTATCTTCAAAGTTCCAGAATCCAAGTTTCATGTCTACTACTCTTAATTGTTTGAAGTGACAAAGCACCTTACTGCTGAAATCAATTCCATGATCAACAGAGTGTAAGGAATGGAATTTGTCAAAGCCCATAGATCTAATTTGGATATAGTAACATCTAGGTTTAATACTTATCCAACGACATGCTTTTGAAACCAAGTGTTGTGATTTCCTCTTGTTAAATGGAAGTTCTACTGGTCCAGCAACAGCACCATGATAATCATTTCCAATGACATACAAGAGATTTTCACATCGAGCTTCTCTTAAGCACAAGTCTCACAAGATATCATGCATCCTAATTGTCTTTATTTTGCCATCATAACTCTGTTTACCAATTAGAACAAAACTTCTATCAACAAGATCTTGCAAGCATTCCGTGGCCACTTCCTCCGGATTCTTATTGTTCACTGCCCGAAAAAATCCCTCTGCTGCCCACAACTTAACTAATTAACTTCTTTACAGGGATTTCATAATCTTCTGGAAAAACTCCAAAATATAAAAAGCAAGCTTTAGACAGGTGTGGTAATTGGTTTTAACTCAGAGATAGTACACTTGAACACGCTCCATTAGAATCACTAATTACACTTTCTGCAACATTGTTCCACTTTTCCACCTTCTCCTCTGTCTTGGAGAGAAGACTAGCTACTAAAGTAATAGCTAGAGGTAATCCTTTACATTTCTTAACTATGTCTTTACCAATTTGCTCAAACACGGAAACAAATTATGTTTTACCAAACACATTGCAGTAGAGATTCCAACTTTCATTGGCATCTAAGAAAGGCATTTTAATGATAGAGTTACCTGAACTACTAGCATATTCAGCCACCTCTCTCAGTCGAGAAGTCAATAGTATACGGCTTCCAGTATTATCATCTGGAAAGCACCTTTGCACACTATCCCAAGCTTTTATTCTCTATATATCATCTATCACTATCAAGTATCTCTGATCCTTCAAGCGTTTACGTAGCGTTTCTGCTAAGTTGTCATTTCTTTGTTCATGGAGTACATTGCCCTGTATAGGGAGTTCATCTCTTGATGCCGCAATAATGCAACCAATAAGGCATTGGAGCATTTGGTCCAGGTCATATTGTTGAGATACAGTAGCCCATGCTCGCTTGTCAAAATATGAAATAATTGATGGATCTTCATAAAGTTTTTGAGCTAAAGTAGTCTTGCCTATTCCTCCCATGCCAACAATTGATACAACTTGTAGCTGCTTCGCTGATTGTCGAGTGAGCTGATCCATTATCGTCTTGAACTCCTCATCGCATCCACCCATTCTGTTGTCAAACTTTGAAGCGCTTTTGGAAAATTTACTCACAGTAATACTATGGCGTTCTGGATCAAGCTGCGATGATGTTGAACCAAGGAGTAGTCCTCTTTGTCGCATCCGACCAAGGAGTGAAACGTCAGTGATCCTTTCACCTTGTGATGGACCATTTGCTAGCTGCTTTTCACTAATTTTAATCAACTTCTTCTTGAGGTAATCAGTCTGTTTTACTGCTTCATTGAAGATTCCACGAAGCATGAGGAGGGAAGCCTTTATACGAATGCGCTTCGTCCAACCCTTTGCTAGATATATGACACTCAACTACATCTCAATCCTTTCTTCAGCTTTGAACGCTACATCTCTGATAAGGCCGGGGTACAGGGTGGCACTAAGAGGTAACGGTTGGAACTGTGATAAGGCCGGGGGTAGCCATAAGGTTGGAACAGGGCATAAGGTTGGAACTATGAAACTTGTGACATGTAGTTGTCACTGTGTGAATGTGATTTCCTTGCTTATGAGCATGTCTTGATGTGTTCTACCCTGGGAATGGTAGGATGCATCCCGAGTTGTATGTCTATGTTGGTTGTGGTCTCGTCTTTGTTGTGAGGTTGATGATCCTCGTTTTTATTGAGAGTGTGATGGTCTTTGATGTTGACTTCCTTCCTTGGTTTTGAAATGATATATATATTATATTCCATTTCAAGTGGTTTTGTTTATATCTATCTATATTATGCTATTTAACGCGTATTGATGGGTTACCAGCATTATTCGCTGACCGGGTGTTATCCCTTGATTTTACAGGTTTTGAGTAGATGCCGAGTGCGCTAGATGTGGACCTTAGATAGTATAGATCCATGCTATACGTTTATCCTTTGTTGGCCTGTGTGCCTTAGAATTGTTGTTGTTATGTTGGATTGTTGTTGACTAGCCTGTGCACCCATGGTTTGTGGGTGTGGCATAACATCTCTCCGATTTTAATTAAGTTTCCGGTGTTGTGTTATCTTGATGATTAGATGTTTACCTTTAAAAATGTTGAAAAATCGGGGGTGTTACAACCATCACCATCACCGCCGCCACCACCACCACCGCCGACGCCACTGCCATTGCCACCACCACCACCACCATCACATATTTTTATAAGGGTATTTATGTCTTTTAAAACGTATTTCATTTCTATTCCTTAAATCAACCAAACACTGTAATATAATTCCTAAAGTTTATTCCTTCTACGAACCAAACAATAGAATACAATTCATATTATATTGCTTACCTATTACATTCCTTATGAAATAGCATTCCTATTACCTCAAAATTCATTCCGTGAACCAAACGTGCTGTTAATAATAATAAGGTTAGCAGTAAAAAAATGAAAAATTGAAAAGAATTATCTTTATAATAAAAAATTAAAAAAATCATATTAATGCTTTTTAAAATTATTTCCCCTCCTCCAAAATTTATTTTAATAATAATATAATTTCATAAATCATATTACATATCGTTTTCCTAAATTAAATGCAATAAAACGAGTCATATATTATTGATACTTTTACATTGATCTTATAATTAAATAAATGTACACTTTTAAATATGGGAAAATGGTAAAAAATACCCCTCTATAATATGCCAATTATCAATGTCACTCCTGAATTATGAGTGGTGTAAATGTTGCCCGTCAATTATCAAAACGGTGCACATATAGCCCCTCCCGTAACGGACACGTGATTCCCCGTTAGTGTACGACACTGTTAAGTTGGAGTAAATATGTAATTTAGTTGTTTTTTCCCTCCCTCGATTCGAAGTACCAGCGATGGACAGCGGTGGGGAACCACAGGTCCGTTACGGGAGGGGCTATATGTGCACCGTTTTGATAATTGAGGGGCAACATTTACACCACTCATAATTCAGGGGTGACATTGATAATTGGCATATTATAGAGGGACATTTTTTACAATTTTCCCTTTAAATATTATAATTATTTCTATATTTACCTTTAATTTTATTATTTAAATATATAATAAAAAAATTAATCCGTGCATCGCACTGGTAATTTACTAGTTTTTACTAAAACTAATTGATCACGAGGGTGACTATTAACTTAGTCACCACAAACACAATAGAACGCACACCATGAGATTGGGTGATTTTCTAAGAGATTTTGTTTGGCGGCATTTTAGAGTGTTGAATCTTGTAGCATCTTGCCATTGAAACGTGGCACATACAATTACGCAAGTATAAAAAATAAAGTTGTGAATTATGTACTAGTTATAAGTTTTGGTGTAGTGGTCAATGCTTGATTCTGACAATTTGTATAAGAGCAAGTCAAGCGTTCATATTACAGATTGAAAGTATGTTGGGCAGTTGAGGCCGACATCTTGGAGGGTCGGATTCAACATCCTGCCATTGAAACTTGCGCCTTTGCTAATAGCTAAGTGTGAGAAATTTCTCTTCGAATGTTATTCCACCGCTACCAAGCAAACAGTGGCGACTCCCAGGCGGTTATTTCGGCGGGATTTTCAAGTATAAATAGCTTGGAGCAGTTATTTTTTCTAATCTTTTGATCCCTTAGTTTAATTTCTCTCTATATGTCTTCTTCCATAGAAACTCTCCCAAACACTTCTACATTGTAATCCATCGACATTATTGAAGATCTAAAGGAATAATTCAACTTATAATTGCTTTTCAATCTTCAATTCCACATTTGATCTTCCTATTTCCATAATCGAACGAAGCTAAGTGTTCATTTCAATTGCAATTTACTTTCCTTTATAATGCTTCCATTGATTCTTCATCTTAGCTATTAAATTGTGACAATGTCTAGCTAAGTCGTAAGGAATTAGGATTAGGTTTACTTGTTAGGATGCTAAAATGTTTTGATTACAATTACGAAGTGACTTGATGTATTGACTTGATTCTTGTTGGAAGTGGACTTTGTATAGACTATTGTATGGTGATGGCCACATCACGCAATAGGTCTTGGAGGTGTGTAGTTGTCAAGAGATTGAGACTACACTATAGCCTAATCCACTTGCATTTCGCACCTTACACTGGGAAGTAGAGCTCGGAAGAAAATGTCATGTGGACTCTAACTGTTCGATGAAATGTCTCAAGTAGTAAGGTTGCTAAGAGTGTATGATTTTACTACTTGATAGACAAAAGACCACGAGAGTGGCTTGACAATGGAAACATCTTCCAAGAATCATGACCAATGCATTATACGTACTACTCCCTATCATATGGGCATTCTATTGCATCACCCCAAGGAACACCTATTCTGAGTCCCCTCCATTCATTTACTTGCTTCTTTACATTTACGCGTTGCTTTATTTTCACTCATTACTTTAATAATGCTCTTTGTTTAAGTCTTGAGACCTAGCTTTCTATCGCTTTTATACACCTGTGCTTAGCCGCTTGTTCAATTCTCATTCGCCATCCTTCAGGGACGGAGCCAGGAATTCCGTTGAGGGGGGACGAAGAAGCAGGGACGGATCTAGAAATTTTTTCCAGTGAAGGCGAAACGTTAAAACAAAAGAGATAATTTGAAAAAAAAAACATCTAAGAAATATAGGTATAAATATTGTTGGATATGAGCAAAAAATAAAACTCATCGAAACTTTATAAAAATATTCATAACAAAAAATGAAACATAATTAATTTGATAAAATAATTTGAATAAAAAACACATTATAAATTACACATCTCATTATTAATATTAAAGAATGTTATATGTGTGTGTGTGAGTGTGTGTTTTGTTGCTTGTTTAGGCCTTTGTGCCCTTGTGTATGCTAGACCATTTTGATCTTTGGTAGTTAGACCTTTTGGTCCTTGTGTGTAAAAGGCTTTAGGCCTCTTTTGAACCATAGGTCACTTTTGGGCCTATGGCGTTTCTTGTAAGGCTTTGGGGATATATACATACAAAGGTTATATATGGCGTGGGGATGGGGTGAGGGGGGCAGTTGTCCCCCTGCCCCCCTTTGGCTCCATCCTTGCCATCCTTAGAGAACGACGTCCCCGAGGAAGTTCTATCTTCGTCACATCTTCTTTCCATCCCTGCAGGTATACTATGAATATCAGTGATGATGGAGAAACGAAATGAATGGTTAAAGATTAAGATTAAAAGCATTTACTTTGTTTGGTGATTATAAAACTAGACTAGACTTGACCAATAATTATGAATGAAATTAAAGCTAAATCTATATATCTATATCTATATATCTATACAAAAACAAAATCCTTCTATTTCATTTTCCCTCCCAAACTTTTGTAGTAAAGCTTATTTGGTAAGTAAATGCACTGCTGGAAATTATGGAATTTCCGACCACCTAAAAGTGATCTTAAATCAAGTCGAAAGTCTTGTTCTGGCCATTTTTGGTATCCGGAAAAACCTTTGTTGCTATTTCCGACCACTTTTTACTTTCGAATTGATTTAAGATCACTTTCAGATGGTCGGAAATTCCATAATTTCCAGCAGTGATGTGAAATGAAAATTAATTAAAATCCATTAATAGGTATGAAATTTTAGTTTCATTAAATTTTAATTAATGAAGACATTCCTGAAATAATTGATTTTAGGGAAAGGTAAATACTACCATTTTGTCTTCAAATTTTTACAGTTTGTGAGTTTTTTTATTCTTACTTTCTGTTGTGTTCATTTTAGTATGGGTGGTGAGAAGACTCCTATGCGGAGTATTTGTTCTAACACAAGTCTTTCTGCTGCCAATACTTTTGACACATTCAACCGTGGGTCTATGATTATGAGTACCGTAAGTGATGTGTATGAGAAAATACAGGTATTGAGTTTTCTAAAGTCTATTACTTATTATAATATAAGCAATAGTCTTCCCTAACTTTTTATTTTTAATGTATTTGAAATGTTTGATATCCAGTTTGGAGATTATTGGGTTGTCTCGAAGATTGTTGGAATAGAAAGTGGTTTGGACTGGTGTTATAACTCATGCAAGACACGGGGATGTAACAGAAACCTTTCCTTGAATACTAAGAGCTTCTATGACTGTTACAAGTGTAAAAGAACATGGGGAGAATGTATTTTGAGGTACATAATTAAAGTGAGAGTTGTTGACATGGGTGGTTATGCACCATTCCTTTTATGGGACAAGGAGTGTAAGGAATTGATAGGCATGTCGGCTGTAGAACTGAGAGGAAAATATCCACAGGTAATGCACAATTACTTATTAAATGAGTTTACTTTCAAAGTCTTAAGCTTACTATTAACTATATCTAATTCTTGACTTATAGGATAAGCAACTACTCCCAAATGAGATTTTATCGTTGTGTTCCATGACACTGATTTTTAAGATTTCCATGAGAAAAGAACAGTTTGATAACCTTCATAATGCCTTCGATGTTATGAAGATTATTAACGATCGTTCATTGGTTGATTCCTACTGTCTTGAATTACTGGAAAACTTTGACAATGATCCAACTTCTAAGCTAGAGTCCAACGACTATTTTGAATCAGATGAGGTAAAATTGAAATACTTTTTACCTTATATCAATTCAAATCTTTGTCCTAGTCCTATATGAAAATTAATAAAGCTTTCTTTTTTCAGGAGTTTCTTTTAGAAGGTGAGGCTGAAAGTCCCCTGGCCTTAATTGGGACTGCGGAGGATGTTGAGGATCTATAGACTCGGGAGTTGTCAAAGCATTGTCTGTTAGATAGTTTTCCTCAAGCAAGACCTCTTCAAAGAAACTACCAATTGAGATCAAGTTGGAGAACAACGTTGATGATGCAGTTTGACTCTTAAAGTAGCATAATTGGTAATATTATGTATGGTATTATATTCTATAATATAATTGATAATATTATTGTTCAAGTATAATAAAAACCCTATGTATAATGTAATAGTAATAATAATAATAATAATAATAATAATAATAATAATAATAATAATAATAATAATAATAATAATCCAAACCAAACTTTATACAAAATAAAATTAAAATTAAAAAAAATAATAAGAAGAGGACAAAGGGGAGCCACGGATCCCCTTTGTAAATGATGTGGGATCATTTTGATCTCACATAGGAAATGTTTGGAAACGGAAAATAAGAGGAGCAATACTCCTCTTCTAAACATAATTGTTTGCCCATCAATGTGGAAACAGAAAATAACTTCCTCCAAAAAAAAATGGGGCAGTCATATTCCGTAAAATTCTCCTCTCAAGCCAAACACTGAACACCCAGAAAATGATTTATGGAATCATTTTTCGATCGGGTTTCCAAATGCACCTTTAGTATAATTGACTAATAATTATTATGATAACTAAGCTAATAACCTATTTATACTTATTATTAAAAAAAAATCATTCCAGGACTATGTGGTCTAATGGTACCCGGGTTGGACTTCCATTTGGAAGGTTGTAAGTTCGAGCCTCAGTGGAGGCGTTATTGGCTCTTTGTGTTCTTTGTGTTTCAGTAGGTTGAGAAAGTATATGAACAGATACTACAATGTAATAGAGCTAGTAGCATTCAAAAAAAAAACAAATTCATTCCTTCATTCTTGCCCAAACACTTCTTCCGGAAAAATGAAAAAGGAAACGGAATTAAATTAATAGTAATAATTAAATAATCTACATCTATATTTATACTATAATTAAAAACAAAATCATATTTACTTAATTTCATGCCCAAACAATAGTAAATAGTAAAAGTAAATTAAAAAAGGAACGTAAACTAAAAAAAAGGAATATAAATATGTCACAATAATATTCTACATCATCAATTAAAAATGGAACAAGAATTATGTAAATTGGAAAATGAAATTAATATTAATAATTAACTGAAAATTAAAAATGGAAAAAGAAATGGAAATTTGGTTAATTGGAAAAGGAAATGAATATTAATAATTGACTGAAAATAAAAAATGATCCATAATTGACTAAAATAGAAAAGGAAATGGTCAAATTATTGCATTTTAATTTTTCACAATAATATTACACAATAGAATAAATCAAATCACAATTATATCATAAATCTTTCACAATTTCAAACAATGGAACGGAAATTAAAAATGGAACGAAAATATTTCAAAAATAATATTCTACATTATCAAGTAAAGAAAAATTAAAAATGGAAAGGAAATATTTCAATAATAATATTCTACATCATCAATAGTAAAAGCATATTTTAAAAAATAGTAAATGTAAATTAAAAATGAAAAGAAAATTAAAAATGAAACGAAAATATTTGAACAATAATATTCTACATAATAAATAAAAATAGAACGAAAATTAGGTAAAAATATCACTGCATATACATTCTAAATGACTAATCGACTGAAAATAAAAAAAGAATAATTGGCTAAAATGGAATCTAATATTACTAATTGACTTAAAATATAAAAGAAAATGGTCTTGATTTCCAAATATATATATATATATATATATATATATATATATATATATATATATATATATATATATATATATATATATATATATATAAGGAAATTAGATGAAAATATTTCAATAATAATATTCTATATCATCAATAGTAAATGCATATTTTAAACAATAGTAAAGGTAAATTAAAAATGGAACGAAAATATTTTAATAATAATATCTACATCATTAATTAAAAATGGAATGAAAATTAGGTAAAAATATCACTGCATTTGATATTCTAATTGACTGAAAATAAAAAAGAATAATTGGCTGAAAATGAATCTGATATTATTAATTGACTGAAAATATAAAAGGATCACTAATTGAGTGATATTCTACCATTATATATTTTCACCCGAGTAACCCGTCCTGATGGACTGAAGGTGTTAGCTCTAGACGAGGATGTACAAGATTGCGTTGGCACTACCAATGTCGTCTACAAAGAGGTTTCAATAATGTGTAAATACTATCGTTGATATTATGTTTTTTTTAATGAAAAAATTGCTATATATATAGACAAAAAAAAATATCTTCCATATATACAAATGAATTAAGATATATAGCAATTCATTCTTATAACTGAGTTGCTAGAGAACGAGCCATTTGCCTAATTTATAAAAAAAATACTAAACAATGATAAATAAAATCTCCAAAGTTACAGCACCGCATGCGTACATCTACACATTAGCTATTAATTTGAGCAATTATTTGCTCAAATTCAAATAATGATAACATCAAAACTCATAAATGATTCAAATCACATCTTCAATTGCACTATATAATATTTAATGTTCTAATTTATATAATTATATATCGATCCAAATATTCTTAATATATTACAACAAATCCATTCCGTGCACCGCACGGGCGAAATTACTAGTTTCAATAATAATTAGATAATTGGGGTTGGTGGGCAGGAGGGGGGCAATCGTTATATCGTGGACCAGGGTCCGCAGTGCACTGTGGACCCTGGTCCTAAATGATTTAGTTTTGAATTATAATTTTGACCGTAACGGTTTATTGTTCAATTCACTGTTTCAAGATTTTTTTTTCTGTAAAGCATGTGTATGTGTATTGTGTTATGCGTTTCTGTGTCTCATGTTATGCAATTCTGTACCTGAAATCGCTAAGCGTGATTTTTTTACTTTTATTTTTTGAGAAGAAACAAAACAAAATAAACAGGTTTATGCAAATATAACAGACTTATTTAACTACTTACCCTTATTCATTGGTCATGTTGGGCGGACACCGATAAAGAATTAAGTTCATCAATTGATGATAGGTAAGCGCTTGATCCTGACAACTCATTCTTTACCTTCCCCTGGGTGAAGAATTTAAAAAGCATGAAATGTGAAACAATCAGAGATATAATGGAGTAATAGAAAGAGACCTGAATATTTTTAGAAAGAGATCAGATATTGGATTTATCTTCTATGTGATTGAATTATGCTATGAGTTACACTGCCTTATTCATTCCTCACTCTCTACCTTCCCAATCATCACATCCTTCCCTTAAGATGTTACATTAGGAGTTATCTATTAACCTTCTGGACGCAGGAAACAACAAATTAAGGGTTATTAAAAAAAAAAACAGGTGGACACATTTATATAGGTAAGGAAATATGAGATACAGAAAATTGAGAGAAAGCATGCACATAATTATTGATTGCAGAAAATTGATAGAAAGAGACCTTAATATATTTCTAGAATGAACAAGGAGGGCTTCATTTCCAAAGCTTCGCTGCACATCTTGAATAAGCTTCGCAGAAGTCAAAACGGAATCCAAGCAGTATTCTAATTGAATCAATTCAAGTGTGGTAATATCGGCAAACGCAATAGGGATCTCTCGCAACAAACTGCAACCAGTTAACTCTAAATTTTGAAGCACAGGAAATGATCATTCACGGCATTCCAATCTTCCAAAATTCGGCTTCCAATTACCAACCTTTTCAATTGACGGAACCCTCCCTCACATGGCTCCCACTCTTTGCCTTCACAAGGATCAATCAATTTTAGAACTTCTAGATTCAACAACATACCAAAAAGCCTCATGTCACACCATGGAATCTTAGTAAAGATGAATTTGAGCTTCTTAAGATTTGGTAGAAAACTAGTTGTGCATGGAATGCCGCTATATGGAAGTTTAAGAGTACACCATTTGATGCTTTAGTTTCTCAAGCTGTCCCAAGTGCACAAGATTACAAAAATAATCTGAATTTTCATTTTCAAACCTCATTTTAGCTTGAATCCCCAATTTTTTTAAATTTGGAATCCTTGTAAAAAGAACCTCCATACAACACTCCGGATTCAACCAAGATATAGTCTGTATATTTCTATGAACAATCTCCGAAGCCTTTAATGTAAAAGGAATTATGCCCGCATAAAAATCCCTTAACAGTGACATTTTCCAAATTCTAAATACCTCAGAGGAATCCAATATAACACTAAATCCACGGACAATAAAACTTTGCATATTCCAATGCTCAAAGAGCTTTAATTTAAGAGGGCGTACCATTTCACATAGAGACAAAGCTAAGTATCTCAAGTGAACAAGATTTTCCATATATGCAATAGTATACGACTTCCATTATTATCATTTGGGAAACATCTTTGCACACTTTCCCAACCAGTAGAGCTCCATATATCATCCATCACTATCAAATATCTCTGATCCTTCAAGTGTTTACACAGACTTTCTGTTAAGTTGTCATTTCTTTTTCATGGAGTACATTGCTCTGTTTAGGGAGTTCATCATTGATGTTTCAATAACACAACCAATTTGTTAAACTAAGCGATATCACTCCTCATTCAATAACACCCTAATGTATTTTATGTGTTTTGGGACTGCAGTCCGCATAACTGTGTGGACCACGGTGCACGCAATAATGATTGGAGGATATCATATTATGATGGTTTTTGGGCTGATCCACACGACCTTTATAGTTGATTTGGAACATTTTTTTTAATTGCACTTTTTTATTTAAAAAAATATTGGTATATGCTTCTCGTCCATATAATTATCTCTCCTTGTTCACTGGTTGGGGTAAATTATGCCCTGGAAACGTGTTCACCATTCATGGTGAACATGGCTCCAAACGACGCTGTTTTTACGTAAATAAAAAAATAAAAATCCCTAATGTGGTGTTAACGGTGCGCATTTGGTCAGATTATGAATTTTCTGTTATGAGATTATGAATGTACTGTAAATTCATAATCTCATAACAGAAAATTCATAATCGCATAAAAGAAAAACATTTATTAAATTACGAATTTTCTATTATGAGATTATGAATTTACTGTAAATTCATAATCTCATAACAAAAAGTTCATAATTTCATAACAGAAAATTCATAATTTATGAATGTTGAAGAAGCTTGCGCTACAGAGGAGTAGCCATGGTTTCGGACGGGAATGTGTAGGCATGGTTCCAAAGTGAATGTGCAAGCATGGATTCATAATTTATGAATGTCAGAAATCATTGTTCACCTCAAATTAAAGTGAAACCGCGAAATGTGAAAATGAAGAAGAAAAGTCGATCACACGATTAATTAAGGAAAAAAAAAAAAAGATAACGGGGAACTAACACCGTTGGGACCATGTTCACCATGGATGGTGAACACGGTTCCATAGCATAACAATTGACTGGTTGGTCACCCTTAGATTAAAAAATAAATATTATTTATTTTTATAGATTACTGGTAAATTGACTTACCCAACTTTGAGTTAAGGAATCTTGGTATCTAATAAAAAATTAACAAGTCAAGAAATAACTAATAAGGAGTGATAATTATATGGTCTTTACTATAATCCCAAAATATTTTAAAATATTTTTAATAGTTTAATTATTAGTGGTATTATTTTTCTTAGTGTAAGTTATTTGATATT